TTTTTTTTGCAGTGATTCAAATATTAATTCTTTAATGATTTCCAATAGGTAATGAAATAATAGACATTCGAGTCAAGTCTTGGGATTAATGAGTTCTCGGAATGACCCTTGTTAAGATCCACATTCACCTGTGACATGAAATCTGAATAAAAGCGAGGGTGTGGCGCAATCCTAATGATCCGGTAAACACGGGTTGATGAAATAATAAGGCTCAACCCAAGGAAGTTTCGGAACGGAGCATACTTTTCGAGTCATTCAGTACACATGATGTTTTTTCCTTCTTAATGGTACCGTAATCGCTTGAGCTCCTAAGGTAGCTGATTGGTGGTGAAGCATCTGCTGTCAGAGTACGGTACCTTTCTTGAGATCGATTGTTTATTGACCGATAATATCAGTGCGTTCGATTGCACCCATCACACCATTAACACTCTGTTGCACCCGCTACACCATCAGCGTTCTGTTGCACCCGCCTAATCTCTAGGTGGTCTCGGTAGTGGGTGCAATCGAAGGCGCAGATGCTATCGAGGAAGAAACGTGAGCGTGGCTCTGGTATCATGCGAGGTCACATCCGCAATGTTCAGTTGACTAGCAGGTGGAGGTAAACGTACGCGCAAGGGATAAATTGGGACTACAATTGACTAATTTATTGCGAGTACCCGAACGAGGATCGTATTGCTTGATTCGTTGGAAAGATTTTTTTATTCTGAAAATACAACTGAAATTTTCTCAATATTCCTAAGATCTGCCTACAATTCTGGAATCCGAAAGCAGTATGTATAGTTTTTGTCAGGTTACGGTGGGTTGTTAATTACTGATGAGAAAAAAGGATGAAGTCGCAGAGCTATGCGAAGTTCAGGCTTGCTTCCTATCACCTAGCAGTGCTATGGGCACCATTGCCGACTGGTGTAGGTAAGAGACCTGGATTCCACTTGTGGTCACCCAGGGTCCGAGAATTTTTCAGGTTTTCCTTGGTCCCCCTTAGCGGATCGGCTGTGCTAATCTTTCCTTCCGCTGGTTCTATCCATGAATGCAGGAAAAGGAAATAGGGTTCATCAGAGTCTTTTTATCCTGTAGTTTTAATAGTTTCTTAGTTTCCGTGAAGATATTAGGGCTACCATCATCTTGACTAACCACAGTGTTTTCTAAATATTGCTTGTTCATGGCCATTAACTGCCCGCACGACTAAACGAATAAATAAAGTGCGATGGTCCACAATGGGTTAAATGATGCACTGGCCGGTCTTAGAAAATATCAGAATAAATTAATTTCAAAAATTTGAGGGTATCGACACTTTACATAAAAATATTACTATTTAAGGTAAGAAAATCGATTTGAAATAAGTCTCCTCTGGTAAGGAAGGGCATATGTTTGTCCTCTTAATTGAGCTGCTACCAGTCAAACGGTTTTGAGAAGCATAAGGCTTGAGTAGTACATGTAAGAGAAGCTCTACCCGAGATTTGACCTCTGAGCCACGGGCAGGGTAAACAGCGTCATTCCCAGCTCAGCCACGGTACGCCTTATGTCGTAACGGTTTTGCTAAAGTTTTACTCAGCGAAATAACCCGCACTTAAAGACGTCTGACTCTAAAGTAAGGTTATTTTTCGCCGACATGCTTGGTCCTTTTCATTGGCATAAAATTTGTTTGTTTCTATTCACTTATTTACTTATTTATTTTACTTTACGTCGTGGCGTCCTTAATCTTCTGTGAAGATGGCGGATTTTCTAAAGTTTTTCGGTGGCCGTAGAACAGGACAAGGACAATAGGACAGGCGCGAGTTGTAAGTGCAACAGAAAAAGGAGAGAAACACTGAAAGAACTCCCCAAGATAAACGCAAATATTTTCCGGAATTTGTGCATGTATCTCGGAATGATGTGTGAAAGAAAAAAATTTAAAAAAAAAACTCCCGCTGCGGAAACAATGAATAAAGGGGCGTGGTGTCATAGGGTCACACTGTCCCAGCGTCAAGAAAAACATGGCATGGTGTACCATCGTATGGAGTCGGGTAAAAGATTGCGGATTGCTTCATCTACCCTGCCCTCTCCTCACCTCAGCTCTCGCTTCTTTGTCAGTTGGATTAAGCGCGTTTTGCCGCCTCAAACATCCTCAATCAGCAATTAGGGGAGTGAGTGGTGAAAAAACTTGGCGTCCCTCGCTCCCACCCCCCTCCCGACGTAAGCAAACCAGCCCTTTTGGCACATCGGCTGGGACCGTATGCTGAATGTTGGGGAGGGGATGGGGTCCCCAACGGTCGACGGTTTACTTCAACTCGGTTGGTACGATAGGAGAGTACTGACGCAAGTGGTGCAGCTGGTCCAGTAGCTTCGCCAGAAGGACCGGTCTGCTCACCCTTGGACTAAGCCTAGGAGAGGGGACGGACCCGTCCTCTCTTTAAGGCTTAGTTCTAAGGTAAGCGCCAAATTGTGGCGGTTCTAAGGACCGCGTTGAAGTTGTCCGTCCACCGTCGGGGACACCATCCCCTCCCCAACATTCAGCATACGGTCCCAGCCGATGTGCCAAAAGGGCTGGTTTGCTTTACGGTCCCTGGCCTTCCCCCTCCTCCCATCCTATCCTGCATCCTGCGCTTCTGATGCGACGATCCAGCAAACATTGAACTAACGGTTCGTGCTGTTCGTGAATAAAAAAATAACTGTAATAACCCAGTTGACACCTCAAACATACGATAAACTCAATACTTCATGTAAGTCGAATTGAAACACAAGACAATAAAAAAAGAGGCGCAATGTGGCTCAAGGGGGGGGGGGTACGCTCTGTAGTATGAAGGTTCTTCGGAGTAAGTTTACGGGCAGCAGGACGAACTCTGGAGAACGAAAATTGCTTCTGCATACAGGAGTCCCCTCTCCAAAGGCTTGGTCCTGAAACTGAGATTTTCCGTGATCTTGACGCGATGTTCCGTGCTGCCCCCCCCCCGAGCCACCCCGCCCCACAAAGCAAAACCTTAATTTCGATTGAGAAGACAGACCAGATAGCCGAGGCTTCAACGCGGCGAGCTGATCCAAGTGGGGGGGGGCATTTTTGAATTATTATTGACTTCATGTTAACCTTTTGAGCTCGGTATTTTCTAGTCGGTAACGACAAGCGTAATGTGACTGCTAACCCTGTTCATGTGAACAAAACCCCTCCAAGTCGTGGGAAGAAAAAAGGAGTAAAAAGGAAACAGGAAAAATGAAATTTTGTCTGTTATGAGTAAATGTCATGGATAAACGTAGAGATTGAATGTACTACACGCGAAAGCCATAATGGCTCGTAATGATTTTGTTATAGCTGCCTGGAATAGATATTCCTATTTTTTCAAACGTTACAAATTCATTGGTCATTAAATGAATATCAGTGAGTGATGTAATCAATCGGCTCCTGTTTTCTCACAAACAAAATACTATTGTTCCATGGCGGTTGGAGGCCTCATTGACCAGAAATCTGCTCAGGGGTATAATTATGAAATAAACGCCGATATGAGGCCATAAAAAATCGAAATCAATCGATTAACTACTTTTTAAGAGAGGTAGCACGGGGTGGATTTCTAGTTGAAATCCTTCAATAAGCTTAGAGAGGTTGGCGAATGCCCAGCGCGACCGGTGGTGGCGCGTTCTCGTGAGCCAGGGAAACGTCGGCGCCTAGCGGACCTTGTTCTAGCCTCTGCCAGCTTCGTGATTTTCAACATCGACCGCCATATTGTCAGCAGTAGCACAGCTCGCAAAGCCAATTTGGCGGGGGTGAAAGGAGCGATGGTCAACGGACCCAATGCAGCGCCAGCGTCTACTCGAAATTCGCTCCGAGTAGGGTTTTGTCGACTTTTCAAAAATGGGAATTCTAGCATAAACGTGGCTCATTTTGACCTCTCAAAAATGGGAATTCTAGCCTGGACATGGCTCATCCTCGTGGCTGCGTATAGGAAGTTCTAATTGCTCAAATACACGGGTTGCGATCAGATCCTCAGAGAAATTCTCATGAAAATCATAAAATAAACACCGATTTGAGGCCTTAAAAATTGAAGTCAATCGATTAACTAATTTTTGAGAGAGATAACACCGGGTGTGGGGGTGATTTCTAGTTGAATCCTCAATATGCTTCAAGGGGTTGGCGAATGCCCGGCGCGACCGGAGGTGGGGCGTTCTCGTGAGCCAGGGAAACGTCGGCGCTTGGCTGGTTTTCAAGCATAGACCTCATAGCACTGCTGCGACCAGAAAATGCGCCACAAGGGCGTCAAATTGCCTTCTGTCTTGGTGTCTGTGCACTCTCGTACGACATGTTATTTCGTTTTTCCTCATGTAGCAGCGCTGTGTCTTCCCGTTGTACAACGCTCGACCTTATAAGCAAGAAAGCCTTTAAATTCAATAAAATTGCTGCTTCTTTTTGCAATTTTCCTCGGTAGCACTCGTCTTCAAGCTTGTTCTTTCATTTGAGAGATAGAGAAATGACAAACTTACTCGGTTGCGGCCCGTGCCTTTAAGGTCTGTGAAGGTTTCTAGGAAAATAAGATCCTCCATCTTGGACAATTTTTAGGCCCCAAATGTCGCTAATATTTGACTAACCTACTGGATTTTGCAAAAAAAATCACGCGGTAGCAAGTTTGGAAGTTGTGGGAGTGCGAAAATTTTGCAGATAATTTTTTCGAGAGTTTCGTCAATCAAAGATGGACTTGGTTCCTTGTTTAAAGCTTTATTCACATTTTTTAAGCCCCAGTGTTACGTCAGCTGTTGACTTTTTTGTCACTGCCTGTCACTGCAATTTCACAGCGTTTATTACTATTAGCTGTGACTGAATAAAATGTCACCTGATTCAGCTATCGTGTTGTGGGATGAGCCAAACCCCTCCCCCGACTCTGTAAGTGGGTGGGGGATTTATTTTGTAAATCCCCGATATGATTGAGATGGGATTCAATCGAGGTTTAAGAGTTCTCAGAAAAGCGCCAAATTTCAGAAACTTTCTCGTAATTTTGCGGGATTTTGGAAAATTCCGTGGAAATTTTGTGCTGACTGTCAATTTTGCACGACACGTGGCCCGTGGTGAAGCAAGTGATGATGATTCGGGGTTTTTGCGAAAGGCTGGGCTGATGATTAGAACCTATTTTTTGCAAGTATTCAGTAATCCTCAAGATTCCATGGCTCGGAATTCCAGGTCTGGTTGTAGCGACGCTTCAGCTTCCTAATAATAGAGAGATCGGTAGAAAGAAAGCCCAATACTTGAGCCTAGAATTTCAAGTTTGTACCTAATACCTTATTGAGGAGTTCTCAGGGAATTCAGGTAGTGTGCCAAGCGATAGTGAGGGTCCGAACCGCCGCGTCCACTAAAACGGCTCCTGATGGCTGCTCAAAAGCCAAGCTCAGGAGACAATCTTCAGAACAATTTTCTGGAGCCAAGGTTCCCAAGGACAGAAGTCATGGCACTGTAGCGAATCGAAACTGCACGACTCAGGGCCCTCCAACCGTGCTTCACTGCGGAACCCGCTGCACTCCTACTCGTTGCAAGCCACCTGAACTGTCTGCCGCCCTCAGTCTGCACTCTCTCGTGCAACGTGTGCTCTCGTGTGCTCTTTTTCCTCGCCGTGCTCTGCCTCTCTGTCGTGCCACGGTCCATTCTAGAAAAAAAAGGCTCACGATTTCAGTGTTTTCCATAATTCTTTTTGTTATTTTTTCCTCTCTGAAGGTCTTCTTCGCCCCTCTTGTTTCATTTTCAGGCAATGACCACAGCATTGATCACAGACTGGTGCCTTTAGGTCCTATACCCGCTTTGTTAATGAAAACGAGACAGCAATGATAAACAAAAAGTCCAATTTTTGAGCTCTGAAGCTAGTTTTCCTCGCTAATCTTCCTGAATGCTATGTTTTGTTGCTTTTTGGACTTTTATTCAGTCATTTTAGGGCATTCTTCAGTTCCGATGCGTTTCACATGCTTTGAAGATCGCAACAATCTTGATTAAGGATAACGGTGTGATAAAGGTTTTCGTGAGCGAACCTCCCCTGAAGAAAGTCACGCAAGTGTTGCACATTCACATTTAGATTTCCCCCATATTTGACCCTTTTTTCCAGACTTATCATGGGGTTTTTGGGGATGAACACTCCTTCTGCAAAATAACAAGGCCACGTGCAATGCGAGAGAACTCAACGAGATTGCTGTAGTGCTACAACATCTGCCGTTTTTTTAAGTGTTGATCCGCACTTGCAGAATTGTTCAATGTTCCACAATACATTACAGTCTGGAAACTTGCCCACATGATAGAAAAAAGACGGCGCTGGTGAAAGTTGTTGAAGTCATTTGACTCATGCAAAACACGAATTCTGCCACTCTTCCTGAAGGGATAAAAACTTCCACATTTTTCCGTTCCTATGGATGCGCCATGCTTCCCTCTTCTATGCAGAGGTGCAGAAGCAGTGGAATGCCCACAGCCTCTACAATGACCTCCTTTTGTAGAAAGGTCTTCAAGCTGGCTCACAAGCCCAAATATCAATCTTGTGACTCTGGACAGGTGAGGCGCTCTAAAAGAAACTTCAGGAGTTGAACGACTGATCAACAACTCTGACTAAGTCAGCTTGAGCTTCCGAAGTGGATCAATCTCCTTTGGATACGCCACGCATTCCACTTCCATCTGAAATCATAGTGGCACACTTCTATGCAATGCAGACTTTGAACCAGTGCCAGCCAGAATAACTCGGTATTTCTCCCTCTACTCCCTAACCGATGACCCGGGTGGGAGGGAGATCCGATCCGCGGGTAATGGGCATGGAATAAAGATACTTGGTGCTACACCAATCTCTGTTATTGTAATGTCAAATATTAGTCGATATTATTACAATTGAAGATTTTTTTTGAACAAATGAAATAATCACAAATAATTAAGAAATATAATGATGATATGATAATTTAGTAAATAAAATATTTATAATTAATTGCAATTATAGTCGGTAATTATCCTGTAATTTCCTCAGTCTCATTTGCCAATTGCGATCTTATTCTTATTGCTCATGTACGCTTTCAGTATAACCTAACACTTCATCTGCTACTGCTTTTTTAACCCCCAACTAAAAAAAAATATAAAATAGTTAAATAAATCATAATCGAATAAATATCTAACCATGCATGATTATCTGATTTTTCTTTGTGCCCCTTCAATATTGCATTTTCAAAAAAAGCCTTCTCTTCCAGATAATAGAAGCTGGTCCGCCGAGCAGAATTTCGGCTGGTGTGCTGCATGGTCGATGTCGCAAACGGCCAACGCCATCGAATTCAATTATTTTCAAGGACCATTTGAAGAACTTAGTCTATAATGTGAGTAAAGAGTTTGAAGATAATGCAAGGATTAGTGATGAACGCTTTGCCACGGCCAGAACTCGAGCCTGGACCTTATATTTCTGGGAAGTTGCTTACCATTCATATCACTACAGTAGACTCAGCACCATTGCGATAGGATCGTTCAGCGAACTCTGATGAAAAAACTGCTTATAGTAGAGATTATCAAAACCTGGTTTTCCAGTGTAGCTTGGTCTGTTCATTTAGGATGCGCTACGCGTCCAAAGTCCGGTCAAAATCGCAGCGGCATTCGCATGGGAGCTGGTCCATATATTTACTCGGAGCGGACCAGTCGATGTGCAGTTCTGCATTTTTTTACCCCCTCGCACAGGTCCAGGGCAGGGTCGACCGTCCGTTCGCACAATTCGAACGAGGGGGTCGCGTTCACGATTTTGGGAAGGGGATCGCGTTTCGGGGTTGAACAAGGTGGAATACTGCCGGGAAAAGCGTAACCGAGGGTCTTAAAAAGGGTTACATTTGACGGGATTTTCGGCATGTTTGGCGGAAGTTTCATGTATTGCATGAACGTAGGCCAAACTTAGTGGAATTCGCCGCTTCAATGACTGTTCACCATGGTCACACGGTAGGTAGGGAGGAGGGGTGTCGTTGGAGAGCCTCCCTAAAATTTATAGTGATGGTGAGGGGTCGCATCGAGAACACCCTAAGTTTGGGTGGTTGTCTCAAAGTTTTCGAAAAGTGCGAACAAGCGGCTGGCCCTGGTCCAGGGTATTAGTTGACCGAATACAGAGTGGGGAGAGCTTGGTTAACTAGTGCAAGGTTCAGTCCGCGGTTTTATCTCCAAACCGTGCGCGTGGCATGGACAGCACCTTTCATCACATCATTCCGTTGATAAAATCTACGTTATTAGCCCGAGGAAGAATGTCGTAGTCCAACAGACTCCATCTTTCCAGGGTCTCTTCAGGCCTCTCTAGTGATTAAATTTTTATCACGAGGCAGTTATCTGATTTTGCGACCAGACCGTCCAGCGAATCGCGCGAATCGCTAGCGATTGGTCGTAAAGTCTGGAATCTGCCTTTGTATGTTACCTGAACCATCCTTGCTCTTGTCGAAGTGATCTGTTATTGTTTTACATATCATTTTAATAAGAGAATAATCTAGTAACCAGTTTTTTCAGACAACCCTTCAAGACCATCAAAATATGATGAAGAAACGAGGATTGACGTTGAACGCCCATCAAACTCTCGTGGTCCGGTTGCGGGTAATTTTTTACCCGTATCTTTTCTTCTTTTTCTTCCGATGGCTCTCCTTGAAGAAAGTCTATTCTGTACTTGCTTTCAGTATATCGCCGAGTACGTTATTCGCAGTCTGAACGAGTTCGGTTGGGCGGTAGTAGACAATTTCTTGGTGATGAACATTGCCGTTTTACCTACAAGTGAGTTCCACATTTCTTTATTGGCAGACTATGGTGTAGGAGGCGTATTAACCCCTGAGAATCAAGAGCGTCACCAACAAGGTGAGCCACGTGTTGAGGCAGTTTTGTCCCTCCTCCCGTGAATACGACCCCCTTGCCTCTTAACAACCCTCACTCTTTTTTACCGGTTAATGCCGTCGATAGTGCTGGTGAATCTGGTGCCTGTGTGACACACTCCAACTCCGCGCACGAAAGCGCAGAAAGCGTAGTCAAGTGAGAAGAGTGATTCATTGTATGTGTTGTGTTGAATAAACAGATTCTAACCGCCAAAAATTTCCGGTGATTCTTGAAATTTTGGCAAAATTCTTGAACTTTCCAGAAATTTCCTCTTTTCATTGCTAGAAATGAGAGCTTATCTTTTCAATGTGCCTCACCCAAATCCCACGCTTGTGCTCCGCCTCAGGAATCAACCGTCCGCTGCGTAATGTTTTCGCAAATGGCGGGGGCGTATTTGGGAGTCGATAGAGTCATAGACGTCCGAAAGGAGGAATGGTCGTATTTGTGAATGCTGGTGGGGTTGTGCTCAACGGGTTTGTTGACGATTTTGAGTTTACGAAGGAAAAATGAAATAGACAACGTAGGATCCGGTTTTTGAGAGATCCTTGAGGCGACCCCTTCCCCCTTGACGGCGTCTGGAGGAGAAGTTGTCGTGGTGCGAGTGAGGAACGTGTCGACTGGTTGTCTCAGGCTATGATGGTGCGAGGGAAGGGGAGGGGGGGGGCGTAAGGCTGATGGTGGTAGTAGGTGGAGGTGGTGGCGGTGGTGGTGGGCCGTGTATCGAGACCACTCCTCCCTTAGAGGAGCGAGGAGTTTGTAAAAATCTTGGATCGAATTGAGGGACGGTTAAATCTGTGTCCCTCCCTCCCACCAAGTCAAATGCAACTCATGTTGAGAAATCCTTTGCCGCGGCTTCACCCTTGTGAACAACAAGCGTCGTTTTTTTTCCATTTCAAATCTAGGAGATTTCAAATCGTTATGGCTGAAGGGCTGATGAAAACGTGTCCGAGGCTAAAGATGTAATTCGAAGGACGTTTATTCGTATTACGACCGATAGCGTTTGGCCCAATCTCTACTATGCGTTGGTTCCACCACAAGCAATTGCCGCCGGACAAGGTGTTTCAATATGTGTGAATTTTTTCGTGAGATTTTGGCTTGTGACTATCTTTGCACAAAAAATGTTGGACTACTCGCCATGATTTTGAGGCCCAATTATTTACTTTTGATTTTTGATTTTCGGTTGACTATGATGTCGAAAAGCGTCAAGGCCATCTCCGTCTCCGGACTCAGCGCCGAGACAGCGTTTCGCGAGAAACGCAAGTACTATTCCGCGCGTCGCAGCGGAAATTCCACAATTAATAATCGCCGTATGCTGTGCCGCCGTCGTCGATCTAGACCTTTTTGCATTTTATTTAGTTTCTTATTACTTTTAACACGTTGACGACAGCGTGACGCGGTAACGCGTCCCACTTTGCGCACCTCGTGGACATTGTGACGCGGTAACGCGTCCCACCCAAGTCATCCCTTTTTCTTGCGCTTGTGCGACTTATTCCTAAGGTCTTTGTACTCATTCTATAGGTCATACATTAGCATACTTAAAAACCACATGGCTCACAGAAAGGCCAAATATTCTTTAGTTTGGCAGACGTTTTCCAGACCTTATGGATATGTCTGTTCAAGCACAAAACGCGCGATGTCGTCAACGTGTTAAAATGTTAGGCTGCGATAGATCGGATCCTGGGCCTAGCTACAACAACTGGTGGTGGACAATTACTAGGGCCAAGTAGGAACTATTCAATTCGGTGATTTACTGGGTTGGTAATGCCTTGCGCGGTGGGCGGAGCATGCGCTCGAATGGGAGGTACTGCTGACAAGAATTTCTTATCCTATTCCAGAGTAGCCCAAAGCAGGGCAAAATTCGGAAAAGGTTGCAGGTGCGTTCTGTTGTCTCGGTGTGTCGTATCATTAAGCGGGTAAAGCGTGGTGAGTGACAAGCGGCGCGCTCACCACGGTCACGGTATGGGGGTCTAATTACGGCTGGAATCCTTCTGAAGCCAACCACGCCCTCCCCGGGTTCGGTTAATTACTATCTGCTCGCCTGGTAGGGTGAAGGTTTCACTTATACGTACATCGGGAGGCCCTAGAAAGCAGGGTGAATATCGGTCGAGGATTCCTCAACGGCACGTCGAGGATTTTTGCCTGATCAGTTACGTTCTCCGCGCGGACATTCACACTCGCCATGCGCGAGCCGTCTGTGCTCTCCGCGTGTACGTTCACTCTGACCACTACTCTCGCACACTGTTTTCCGACTACCCGGTCTTACGTGGCTGACAGGCGTTTCCCCACTCCTCGGGAAAAAAGGTGAAGTGGGCTCCTCGTGGGCCGCTGAAGTCCTACAGAGGGCCCAGTCTACCATTCTTTTGTCCACCTTTGTAAACCGTGTATTTGTTACATTGCTTGAACATGAGCTTAGGCTAAGGTAAGACTTCCGGACAGAAGTTGCTGGATAGCTATACGCTTTCCAGAAGGTAGGATATCTCCCAAGTAGAAGTACTGCCTGATATTCACACTGGCTTACCCTCTATTGATTCGGAAAAGGGAGAAGTGGATTCAGGGAACAACTAGACATGTCGTGTCTGGGCGTGAATCGAATGCAGCAGTTTTATGTTCTATGAATCAGCTTTCTCATTTCGATTTCTCACGAACACACGTAGCCAAGAGACGTGTGTGTGCTAGGCGTTTGAGCGGTTCCGCTCCATTGAATCGAGGAGTCACGTCCTCCGCTCAGAAAACGAGCAAAGAGATGAAAAATCACACGTAGAGAATTTTGTTCACTGCACAATTATTACATATAGGTTTACGAAGAACATTTGACGAGGTAGAATTCGAAGAAAGTTTTGAAACGATTTTTCTCTGTAGAATTCGACGAAATCATAAAGGCTCAAATGTTCAGGGAGATTAAATGTCTCTACGAGCGTGGTCTGTTCAGCGCTGGGCAACTAATGGACGGGAAACATAAAGATGAATATCACGTCAAGGATATACGGTCCGATCAGGTACGTGTGCGTTGGTTACATGAAAGAACAAAGGATAAATTATTTTAGCGCTGAGATTTTATAGTTTGTTGGGATAACCGTAATAACATTCGTATACAGCAAATTCATATTATTAGGTCAACTCATTCAAACATGTCCAGACATCTAGAGAAATGGTGGGAAAAGTAAAAGAGCTAGAGCATTCTACTTGCTTTTGCTTTTAAGCTAGCACACCCAGCTACGGTATACCTCTAATTTAGTTTATAGTGCTGCAGGAGGAAACACTTAAACACATAAAAGAATTCATAGTGACCCAAATCGAGGTGGAATTTCCAGATGACTGGTGACACACGTAAAATTCGCAACTCGAATTCTGTGTGTGCTGGCTCAACTTACGCGTGATACAGTGTTCTCGAAGTGCTACGTTGAAGATATGGTGTGAGAGCTCAAAGAAGGGAGAACGGAAGCGAGTTGTGGTTGAGGACGCGTTCATATTGTCCACCTTCCCCAAGAAGAGCGGGTGGATGAAATGAGGTTTCAAATGGCGCATCACAGATGTTGAACCTTTGCGATGTTTGCCCACGAGACTTGCAGTCTAGCTGCACCTGTTACGCAAATTGTGCCCAAAAATTGGGGATGGTCCACAGAACATGTTTTTGGATATCCCATTTACTCCCAGATGCAGGAGTCCAGAATCGAATTGGTGTCTGTAGCAATGATTTTCTCTGCCGATAGCGGCATTTAAGACTATCAAACTGGACCCTGCTCATAAACGAAATTTGTGTGTAATTGTACGCTGAGGCCAAAGTCAGAAGTGTCAACTTTGGATTAACGCGAATGAGGAACTGCCCGAATTGGATCACGAGAAGTCACGTGGGTTCACGTGGATGATTATTATGGCGATGGATTTCTGAGTGTGCCTCTTAAATGGCTCTGTCGGGAAAAAACCTCCGGCGTTTCTCAAGTTTATGGCTTGTTTCTTAGCGAACAAATTGACAAAGGAATAGCAGTATAAAACTACAATAACGATATCATCACCTATGTCGATACCAGACCCTACATAGCTCATATTGCTCACGGGTATTTCGATCAAACGGATATTGTGGCCTCTTCTTATCAGCCGTATTTTCCCAACTGCAGCCATGCGACCTCAGCTGTTTTATCGAACTGAACGCCCTACTCGTTCGGAAGCGCTACGACAATTCGTTGATCATCTATACTGACATCAAAAGCATCTTGTCTATACTTGTTGAAATGAAGAAGCTGCGCGGTGTCCAGTGTTTTCTAGACGCTGGGATCGGGTCGTTAACAACGACAAGATCTGCTTGACTTCACACCAAAGTATTAGCTTTTTATCTTTCCTGCTGTTCATTTTATTCGAATAAAACCGTGGACATGTTTGAATGAGATGACCTAATAATGCGGTCTGCCTATACAATGACCTTGCGGGGACCAATCGATGTCTAAATCAGCGTCTTTATCATCTCAGCTGAATCTGCTACAAATCAACAGCCTTTAGAGGGATGCAAGGCTTGAAAGGCGGATATAGGTCGATTCAGGATTTGACCCCTGGACCGTGCGCGTGTGGTAAGCAGCGTCACTTGCCACTACACCATTTCAGCCAAGATATTTTATTGGTTGTCGAAAATGAGGTTTACAGCTGGTTAGGCTTCTCACATTGAGTGCTATACGGGAGGAACGGAGAATCCGAGGGAAGGAATATGCGTGTAACAATCGAAAGGAAAGGAGAATTGAAGAACCAGCGGAAGTCGTCAAGATTATATCAGTTGAAAGCGTAGGAAAATGCGAAGAACGACGAATCGCGATTCCACGATTCTCCTGAAATTCTCAATTTCACCGACTTTCCTGTTCTTCGATTCTCCCATACCATGCTATTCACTACTTGTCGCGTATTTTCCGATTGTCATTTCGTAGAAGTGGGTAATATCACTGGTCACTTCTATTAGTTGGACGGTTTGGGTAGAAGTGAGCAGTGGTGGGTTACGGTACTGCCCCAGTCTTCTATTCTTCGATTCTCCCAAACCATGCTGTTTACTACTTGTCGCGTATTCTCCAATTGCCAATTTGTAAAAGTGGGCAATAAATACCATCACTTCCCAATACAGCCCGGATCGAACCCCACTTGGGCAAACAGGATCCTCCATCATTTCGGGGTGAGGTAGAGGCTGAGTCATGGTCAAGGAGTCCTCGACAGGGGTCACATTTTTTAGTGGGAGGGGAGGGGACTGTATTGGGCGAAATCGGCGATGTATTTTGGGAGCCACATTTTCCAAGGGAACACCTAACAACGGTGAAAATTTAGAGGTTAGTCGCAAATTTTTAGATGATGGAAATCTTGACGTTTTTCCTATTTTGATTATATGCAGTGAAGAGAAGAGCCGTTGGGACCTAACTGATGGCCGAGGCTGAACTGACCCATTTTCCTTCACATGTGGCTCCCTAAGTAGAAAGTGGGCTTGTTTATTTCGCACCCTCCCTAGATTCGCAGAATTTTAGATGGTGAAAATTTTGCAACATCGTATTCTGATTGTAGTGGAGTGAAGGAGCCGTTTGGACCTACGTGACGATGGAAGGGGACCCATTTTTCTCCACATGTGGCTCCCCTGATTAGCATGGCTCAATTTTTTGTCACACCTTTCCCGCGCCTATTTTCATGAAATATTCTCCCAACTTGGTCTGTGCAACGGTAAAATAGAATTTTTGCGGGATTAGGTTGTGTTTGTTGCACGAATAAAAA